GCTATAAAGAGAAACAAGACCTGAAAGCTGACAGAACTGCAAGAAAGCCATCAGCGTTAGATGGGTTTTCAAACAGAAGCTAAATCCAGATGGACCAATTGGCAAACACAAAGCAAGATTAGTAGCAAGAGGCTTTCTACAGAAGCCTGGGCTGAATTACTCTGAAGTGCTTGCACCTGTAGCGAGACATGAAACAATCAGACTAGTGATTGCAATAGCTGCTAACATGAATTGGCCTCTGATGCACTTAGATGTAAAATCTATATTTCTGAATGGTCTATTACAAGAAGAGGTATACGTATTACAACCTCCTGGATTTGAGAAAAAGAATCAGGAATGGATGGTGTTAAAATTACACAAAGTCTTGTATGGATTGAAGCAAGCGCCCAAAGCTTGGAATTTGAAGATTGATTCGTTTTTCAAGGAACAAGGGTTTCAGAAGTGTGAGATGGAGTATGGTGTTTATGTTAAGCACACTTCAGAAGGTAATATGATTCTAGTATGTTTGTATGTTGATGACATATTGTTAACAGGAAGTTCTGAACAAGAGATAGCTGAGTTCAAGAAAGTTATGATGAATGCATTTGAGATGACAGATCTTGGGAAAATGAGTTTCTTTCTAGGAATGGAGTTTATATATTCTGAGAAAGGAATCATTTTACATCAGATGAAGTATGAACTTGAGCTTCTGAAGAGACTTAAGCTAGAGAATTGTAAAGTTGCTATCACACCTGCTGATACGAATCAAAAGTTGGACTCTGATTCTGATGGAGAGGATGTGGATGTTACAAACTTCAAACAAATGGTTGGTTCTATGAGATATTTTTGTAATACCATACCTGATATTTGCTATGCAGTTGGAATGGTTAGCAGGTTTATGAGTAAACCAAAGTGGTCTCGTTACCAAGCTGCTGTCAGGATTCTGAGGTATATGAAGGGAACTCTGAAGTATGGAGTGTTATTTCTGTCTGGAAGAAAGATCGAATCAGAACTTGAGTTATTCAGACTCTGATTGGTGCGGAGATAAAGTTGACAAAAGAAGTACTTCTGGACACTATTCAAATTTCTGGGAGGTCCTATTTCTTTGTGTTCCAAGAAGCAACCTGTTGTTGCACTTTCAACCTGTGAAGCTGAATATATTACAGGCGCTCTGACTGCATGCCAAGCTGTGTGGATTCTGAACTTGCTGCAAGATCTGAAGATTGAAGTAGACAAGCCTCTGAAGCTGATGATTGATAACAAGTCTGCAATCAATCTTGCCAAGAACCCAGTGCTTCATGGGAGAAGCAGGCACATTGAGACCAAGTATCACTTTTTGAGGAATCAGGTTCAGAATGGAATTTTAGAAGTTGTGCACTGTAGCACCCAGAAGTAGCTGACAGATGTTCTAACAAAGGTTATCAAGACTGATCAATTTCTTCGTTTGAGGGATGAAATTGGTGTTGTCAGTTTTATGTAAATATAAATTAAGGGATGGTGTTAGAATTAATTTATATTTTAGGAATTAATTTAGAAATATCTTTTAGATATTCATTTATATTTTAGGAATATCTTTTTAGATCTTTTTATATCTTTGTTAGAGGATACTTATGATTTTATTTTGTGTATAAATAGCCTAGTGAGGTAGGCCAATGTAATTCATTGTAAATCATTATTCCTATATTTTTGTAGCCGTCATTAAATATATTTCTTTTGTCTTTCATCTCTTCTTTATGCACTAACAACCTTGTTAAATGGCGGAGTTCCCCCAAATAACAAAACAACTCTAATCGAAGCCAAGGGTTGAACGGTAATTCTAAAAAATAAAATGCAAAAAATTTGTTAGATGGTGAATGTGAGGGATGATGCAAACTAGAGAAAGGAAAAAGAAATGGAGACAAAGCTATATCCTTTTATACCCATTCATGATAAATATGAAAGTAACTAAATCCTTTATATTCAATCCCCGAGAGATAGGTGTTTAGTAGACCGCCAACTAGCTAATATATTGATAACACATTATGATGAAGGAAATTTCATTTCCCACAAAAGCCAACAATGTGCCTTAACTTCTATGGAACTATTAATGTGTGCTTCATTTTAAGCCACCTAGATTCAAATCTAGGAGCAACATGACATAAGAAGGAGACCCAAAGAATGAGGCAAGTCTACTTCACGCCTTAACACTTAACTTGAAGCAGTATGGCAGGGAAATCAATGTGATATCTAGACCACTACAAATTCTAAGAGAAAACCACCTGCTGAGATAGCCAATTATTTTCAATTGATAAGAGAAGGTGTTCCCATCCATGTCTGTCAAAGGACGCCTCATGACCATGGAGTAAATGACAAGCCATAATCTGACCTAACTAGCTAAGGTTTAGGGGACATGCTTGATCAGGGATTACCGATCCTTATAAATTTTTAGATGGTGATAGCTCACACGATCCTTTAACATATGTGATCTTTTGTGACAAGTGTCCTTAAGAAAGATTCTAGGGCCTTTAAACTCTAGATGACTACTACAAAATTTCAAAGAATGATTTAGAATTAGATACACTATTCTAAAACAATAAACCTTACATTCATAACTTTTACTAATTTGATTATCAAAGTATTTTATGTACATGTTCCACCACCTGATTCCATAGATAACATCCGTCAACGAGGATTTTATCATCGCCATCACCATCATAACTACTCAACGATTAAGACCTTTCCATATTAAAGATATATAATATTTTAAAAATTAATGAAGTGTGATTTAATGATTATATATTGTGTTCTTTTAAAATATTTAAAATCTTATCTATATATATATATATATATATATATATATATATATATATATATATATATATATATATATATATATATATATATATATATATATATATATATATATATATATGATATTTTGACACTTAAATTTGGGTGTTGAGTATAATTTTTAGGTGTAATAGTGTATTATTGAAATTCGTGTAAGTGTATGAAATGAAAAACTTTTAGAGAGATAGAGATCATTAATATACGATTGATATACAGTGTCAGATATAGTGTAAAAATTGATTGCTCAAATAACACTCTCCCATATATATAAGGTATTTTGATAATCTTTCTTGATAAAAAAGCTTGTACATACTAAGGGGTATGATCCCAGTCCTCGACTCTGATAAAATAAGAAAATAGAGAGAAATGAGTTTCTCTTACGGGCTGTTTGGGAGTTGATTTTTAGAGAATTTTGGAGGGAAAGACTTTGGAGGATTGTATCTATATTTTGAAATGTGTTTGATATTTTTAAAAAAATTTAAAAATAATATACTACATTAGCATATAAACTCATATTATTTTTTAAACTTTTTTAAAATGTCAAACACATTTTAAAATATAAATGTAACCCTATAAAACTTTTCTCTCTAAAATCCTCCAAAACCAACTCTTAAACAATCTCTTAGATTCCAACTTTTAGTTACTAATTGCATCAACTTCCTTGTGTATTGTAATAGTAAGCTCATATTGTATTCATCCTTTAACCCAAATTTAATATCTAATTTTTTAGAACATTTAAAATTAAAATTAAACCTAAAATATTAGAAATTCTAATTGATTTGATGCATATGCATATATCTCTAGACAACAAAGTTATGTATAGGCTATCGCTAACCTCTAACATTCATAAATTTCACTCATTTTAAACTATAAATCGTAAATCGACTTAACATGTGTTTATTTTTGCAAGTGAAAAAATTTGATTTTAAATGAATTGATTTTTGTTAAAAGTGGGTTGAATGCAAAGTAGTTTATGTTTGGACACATTAAGATAAAAACGAATTAAACGATAAATTTTAATATAAAAATTACATTTAAATTCAAAAATTATAAATTTTAATTTTAAATAGAATTAATACGGAAAGATATAATCAATTCTACTCGAAAACAACCGAACATTTTCAAAGTAATTTTGTACAATCTAAACATGAGATCAAACCTACACTTAAAAGTATACTATCAAATAATAGAAAAACATCCTAATTAAAGAACTAGTCATAATTCATTAAAAGAACTAAAATCATACACTTTTCTTTTATTGAGATCGTTCATCCTGAAAATAGAAAAATTAACTGCATTCATAGTTTATATTTAAATTGATATAGAATGAAACATTACAAAACGAATAGAACACAGTAGAATAGAATATAAATTTTACTCTATTATTTAATTGTTTGTTTTAAAATGTCTCATTTTATTCGATACACTCTAAATTAAATGGAATAAAAAACAAAGAATTAAATAGAATAAAATGGAATGTATTCTATCACATTTTAGTCTATTCCCTTTTCTTTTTTACTAATTCAAATAATAAAATATAATATTATTTTATTCTATTGTGTCCTGTTCCGTTGTATTTCATCAATTCAAACAAACTATTGATAGCGTATTATATAAATGAGTAATAATAAATTATAAAATTGAGATTATGGTCCTAAGAAACATTATAATAACCAAAATATGAATGATCAATCCAGTTTTATGAGTAACTCTCATACACATCTTAAACAATATAGTGCACTCTCTTTATACAAGGAATTATGTTCAAGGGTTTAATGGTAAATTTAGAACAACGACACTTTTCTTTTCTACGCTCTTTCTACCATTTTTTTTTTATTGAATGAAACATATGTGGATTCTATCACTAGATTAATTTTTAAAGAGACGGACCTACATGAGTTTTACTCGAGAAAAAAGTGAATGTTAAAAAAAAAATTATAAAGAGATTGTTCTTAACACTTATACTCAAACACAAATGAAAAAGAATAAAAAAATATTTATAAAGAAATTCTTATATGGTAACCTAATAAAATTGATGAAGTACATTGTATAAGAATTCAGAATCTGAAACTAGTCAAAAACAGAGAATTTTTTTAATATATTTTTCATATCTAAAAATTCTTAAATTGAATTTTGTAGAGTTGTATATTGATGATTTTTAGGGTTTTGTGTGCTGTAATTGTGAGCAAAACATGGCTTGTTCTACTGATAGCATTGTTTTGATTGATGATGATACAGTGAATTGGCTGAGACATGTTGGAAGACAGCTATCCAAAAACTTGACTTCTTCAGTTGATAAGCTTCTTCAATTACTTGATGTAACCTATCTCATTTCTGCTTCATTTTTGTGTCATGAATTTTGCTGAATTCATCTTCCTGCTTTGCTCAATTTTGTGTCTTGTTGGTTATTACTCATACTTTGCTGATAGGTATGATTTAGGGTAATGATATAAACCAATTCTAGTATTTTATTTGGTAAATGCAGGTACAATTGGCCAAACTCTGTGATCAAATTTCGTTATTTGTTTGCGCTTTTTGTATCAGATTCTTTTGAGCTAGGGTTTCTGTTCTAACATATCTATATTCTAGATTTGTGTTTTACAAATTGATCTTATGTTCTCTCTACTAATTTTCATATCTATTGATATATGTTTATGTTTCTGCTGGATTTGTTGAATTCAATTGTATATCTTGAATATGTAATCCTGTGCTTCTGTTCTTATAAGACTGATTGAATTCTGATTTTTCCCCCTTGTATTTGGTGATTCAAACTTTTAGAAATTGGAGCTGGTATTATCAAACTTGGATCATGATCCACCCAAGCGAATTCAAGGATCACTTGTACCTCCAATGAAGACATTGATTTCTGATCAACTTTTGAGACACGCAGACGAGGATGTTAAGATTTCTGTTACAGCTTGTCTCACTCAGATTACAAGGATTACAGCACCAGATGCACCTTATGACGATGAACTGATGAAGGTACTTGTTTTAACTTGATGTAATTTTCATTGTAGATACTATATATTATAGATAGTTTTCAAGTTGTACAGAAAAAACATCTCATTTCATGGTGGACAGGAATTTTTGAAGCTGGCCGTGTCAGCTTTTGAAAAATTGTCACATGTATCTGGCCGCAGCTATGAAAAAGCAATTAGCATACTTGAAAATTTTTCAAAGATCAAAATGTTCTTGATTATGCTGGACCTTGAGTGTGATGACCTGGTTATGGAGATGTTTCAACAGTTCCTGAGAATTATAAGGTTAGCGCACTCACAACATATATTTTTATGTTACTTCTGGTTTATGTAGCACTGACTCAAACACGGATACCAGACACATGCCGTTGACGTTGACATTTCAGAAGCTGTAATTATTAGATAAATTGAATGATAGAATTGAACCACATGTGTCGGTGTCGCGTCAGTGTCAGACTCCGAATATGCCTTCAATTTGAAGAACCAGTGCTACGTAGTTCTCGTTCAAAACTTGCATAGATGAAATTTAATACCTCCATTTGGTTTTTCATTATTCTTGTTACTTTGGTAATTGATGATCGAAGTAAAACATTGTTGAACCTTTAGGGAATGAATCATTGATGTGATATTGGTTCTGCTAAGTCATTTCCTATAAGAAACATGCCGTGAGAAAAGGATTTGATTTTTGTTATACTTATTTGATGAATGCATGTAATCTCTATAAAGTGAGTAGGCAATGTCTTTGTTAGATTTAATATAATTTATGACCCTTCACTTATTTGATGAATCCATATCATGAATGATTTTTTATCTAACAAGTGTTCTGCAAAATTTGCATCAGTTCTTGTACAAGTTACCCCTTGGATAAACTTACACTATCTAGTTTTGTTAATTACTTGAGATATTGTTTGCTAAATTTAAAGGTCAAACCATCCGAGTAATGTAATTGAATCAATGGAGAATGTAATGACCGGGATACTTGACGAAAGCGAAGATATTTCCTTGGATCTTCTTAGGCCTTTGTTAGATAGTGTAAAAAAGGAGAACCAGGTAACATACTTTGCATTATTAGTGCTGTGTTTTCCTCTGCATTATTTATCAATTTCACTGTGATGATCTGGTTTTACTCGATTTTCTCAGACTATTTCACCTATTTGTTGGACCTTGGGGGAGAAAGTAATTACAAATTGTGCCTTCAAACTTAAACCTCATCTCATGCAAGCAGTTGTATCCTCTGGAAGAACGCTCGATATGTATCCGCAAATAGTAACTTCTATTTGCCAGAATCAACCTGAATCACAAGAACACATTCAATCATTAGTACGTTTTCTAAGTAAACTGCTTTCAAGTTTTTTTGTTTTTGTTTTTGAGAAGTGCTTTATAAAAGACAAAGCAGATGAGAACTTCAAACTGATGTAAGGATTGGTTCAGGTTCAGGCAGTTGAAAACAATCTTGTTGTACCTAAAGATGCTCATGAAGAACCCTGCGACGTAAATTATTTTTTTCCTTTCTCAGTAAGCTTTTGTATTATTAAATTTTCCTTCGCAAAGCATTGGCCAATACATTTATCATTATTTCTAAAAATCAGGTGACAAAAGGGCTTGAAACAGTTAATACTTGTGTGAGGGATGTCCAAATTGTAGATGACACGGAGGCAAATATACGGAGTACTAGTGCTGCTTCTATGGACGGAGAAGTTGCAGAAAGTTCTGGTTCAAAAAGGAAACTGCATTCATGTACTAAGAACTCCGAACAAACAAATCCGAAAACAAGTACAAGCAATTTAGAGTTAGTTCAGGAAATGAACTCTGAAACTCAACTGGATATTGTTCCAAGAAAGAGAGCCCGTAAGCCAAATTCTTTAATGAATCCAGAGGAAGGATATGATCACTCTTGGATTTGTAAGGAATCAAGTATCGTAAAATCTTCTCAACCCAAAAGCGCTCGTGATAATGGCGATGCTCTTGCACTTTGTAAAAACCCTACTTCTACAAAGGGTAAAACACTGTCAAATCCCAAAACTGTCGACCAAACACTATTTTCTGAGGTTAAGAATGGGAAAGTATCTATAAAAACATCGGATATAGGCAGTAGCTTTCTATCTGGTGAAAATCCTGCTTCTATTGAGGGAACTGTAGTGTCAAATCCAGAAGATGTGAGCAATGCTTGTGAAGCTTTAGTTTCTAAATCTAAAAAAGATGAGAATACAAATGTTGATTCTCCTACAAATCATAACATTCGTAATGGAAGCTTCCTCAAAAGACGCAGGCCAAGGAAAAGTATTAGCATTAGGAAGTTAAAGGATGATAATTTGAGTCCTTTACTTGAGAAGACTTCTTCAAAATCCCCTGGTGTTAGAATGGAAAATATATCTAAAGTAAGGAAGAAGCCTGAAGTGAAACATGAGGCACCTGTCAGAACGATTAAATTATCTATAAAGTTTGACGGGAAAGTTGTTGTGCCTCCTACATCAATAGTTGCTAGCACGAAATCCGAGAATTTTTGTGAAGACGAGGGAAAATCCTCTTCTCAAATAGAAGTTAACAAAAGGAGGAGACAAACCGCTACTTCTAATAAAGGTTTCAACAAATCGTCTGCTATGAAGGTATGATAGAATTACAATTGTGAACTCCATTCTACTATGCACTAATGAGTTAGTTATTACATAAGCAATGCCCTAGTATTTTAGAAACTCATTCATTCTTAGCTTATGCTATCATGCACACCATGCATGTCATTCATGACTCTCATGCATTGCTAACTATGGCTAGATACTACCATCATCTTCATATACATAGCATAATGATAGGTGCCTTAGTACACAAGCTACTACTACTTCTAATAAGGAATATAACAAGTTTAAGTCAGTATCTCATGTGCAAATTATATGTTTATACAACTCTTACATATTGTTTGTTTAATATTTGCTTAGGGACATGAACCGATAAAACTTGGTAACTCCTTGGTTGGTAAAAGGATCAAAATCTGGTGGCCATTGGACAAGATGTAAGAATCTCAATATGACCTTAGCTACATTAGATGAATCTCAATATGACCTTAGCTACCTTAGCTAACTTATATGTTTTCTTTTCTTAGATATTATGAAGGTGTTGTCGAGGCCTATGACCATGTCAGAAGAAAGCACAAGGTGAGATTTCTGTTACTCATCTTAGTTTTGTATGTTTCCTTTAGGTATTCGAGGAACCATTACTTTTAATGAAAGTGATAACTGAAATTCGCAAAAAGATTATGAAACAAAAATTATGGTGTTTAAATTATGGAGGCCTTAACTTTAGAAGCAAAAAGTACGGAATCAGATAAGTATGTTTGTTAATTTTTGTATGTCTATACAATAGATTTTGTACGACGATGGTGTTACGGAACAGTTAAATCTCAATAAAGAGCGTTGGGAGTTAGTTAATGTTTCACTAGAAGAAGGACTTGGACTTAAAGAAGCTTGTAGAAGCATCTGATATGTAAGTACAGTCTGTCTCAAGGCTTTTACTAATTGCAACAAAGTGAAGGGTCTTTTTTTATTTTTTTTATTTTTAACATTTCCTTATTACAATTTCAATTGAAAGAATTTTAGAAGAATAATTTTTTTCAATGTTTTTCTAATCCTTTTTTAAGTATACTATAAAATGTGAAAGTGATTGATTATAACACCTGTCTTTGTTTTGTCAGTGTTGGATACCTTCAATAAAAAAAATGTCGGTGCTACAAATTAACAAGTACTCAATTTTGATCCTTATTGAAATCTACTAAGATTTATGATGTTGCAGGTAATGCTTTAGTTGATGATTCCATGGATGATCTACCTGTAACAGCAAAAGAATGAAGATTGATTCACCCATCAAAAAATATATAGGAAATGTGTCAAAAAGAATAAAGGCCTAAAGAAGATGAGTTAGAACTTATGGTACTTTCCCTTAGAATGGAGAATGTACACCATGTGCACATATATTGGAATATATATATATGTTAGTTATGGTAGCACAATGTAAATACGTTGGAGACATGACATAAAGATCCTTATTGAAAATAGAGAATTTTCGATGAAGATATAGATTCTCTTTTTTTATGATGAAACTACAATCAATTTTGGTATATTTTAGAAAGGATTAATGTGATGAATATGCGTTTAAATTTAATTTTTTGAATATTCTGCATATGATGATTCAAATTGCGCTGTCTTAGATATGTAATTCATTTTTAAAAGTTAGAAGCTTGTTATGATGTCGTTAGAAGTATAACTAATTTTACGTGTGATTAGTACTAGTTTCACATGTGGTTTGTTATGATGTCGTTAGAAGTATAACTAATTTTACGTGTGATTAGTACTAGTTTCACATGTGGTTACTACTAATTTTGTTTGTGGTTACTACTAGTTTCACATGTGATTACTATTACTTTTTATACGTGGTTACAAGTAATTATACATGTGATTACCACTAACTATATTTGTGGTTACTGACTAGAAGTTAGTTAGTAGTATGATCCTATATACATGATATAACACATATTTGTAATCACAACTCAAATAAATCAATTAAAAGCCAATACAACATATGATCCTATATAAATCGTGAATGGAGGATTTTCAACATTGAAGGCCAATACAACATATGTACAAAAGACTACTCATTGCAAATGAGCAATAAAGATGGGAAAAATATGTTTTTCATCCATCAATTGGTGGATCCAAACATCTTTAAGAAGATTATTGAGGAAGAAACAATTAAGGGTGTATAGGATACACTCGTGAAGATGTATGGAGGTGATGAAAAATTTAAAAAGGCGAAGTTGTAATATTTGAAGAAATGATATGAGAATACACAAATGAATGATGAAGAAATTACAATATTTTTTTCTTAGATTTATGTTGTTGACCATCAAATGAAATTGTGTGGAGAGAAGGTAATTGAATATTGAAAGTGGAAAAGGTTCTCCGAGCCCTATCTTTCAAATTCGATCACATAGTTATGGTCATTGAAAAGTCTAACGACTTGTGTGAGCCGAAGTATGAGAAATTACAAGTATATCTTCAAGCTCAATAGTTAAAACTGAAACAAAGAAACTCAAAGAAAGTGACTGAGCAATTCTTGCGGGCCAATTTCTTCAAGAAAATGAAAGAAAACTCTTCAAAAATAGATAAAGAAAAACAAAAATGAAAGAAATAGTAGAATGATCATGATAATACCAACAAAAATTTAAGAACTCAAGGTGAGACAAATAAGAAAGGTGTTTCTCACGTGTACAATAATATCATATTATACATGTACATCTTTTAATTTTTAATATCATATTATACATGTACATTAATATATTTGATTTAGTAGGTAAAACTTAAAATAATTTACTTTTTAGATTTATTTATTTATTTATTTATTTATTTTTAGTTCTATAATTTTCTTAACAGGGAAATATACTGCAACTATGGATGAATTAATACATTTAATTTTTGTAAAATTAACTTTTATTTTAATGGGAAAGTATGAAATATTAGTTGTTAGTTAAAAAATTAATGATTGATATTATATCAATAATGATTTGTTATAAATATGTAAATGATATTGTTTATTAGATTAATTTTTAAGTTCGACTGAGATTATTTATTGACTATTCAGTTTAGAAGATACATGTTTCATCAATAAGTTGAAGGGACCAACTTATGACAGTACAAATTAAATTTTGAATTTTAATTGAATGAGATATTTATATTTTGTATTTAATACAAAATCACCGCTATAATAAAAATAATGTATGAAAAAAAGTAATTTAATTCTTTCATATATATTTTTTATGTAATCTTTTAGATCTTTATATCATTTAAAATTTTATTTATCGACTATAAAACATTTAATTTTAATATTATAATTTACTATTATTAATTTAAAATCAATAAAAAAGATTTACATGAGAGTTCTCCAAAATCAATCTAATACAAAACAATATTAAGTTATTTTTAAGGTGGATAACACTCCAAGATATCTTGATCATGTTTCACATTTAGTATTTTTTTTTTACATAAATGATCATATTTTGCTAGTAGGTAGTTTCAGTGAATACATCTTAAAAATTTGGACGAGATGATTGTGTTTCAATTAAAACCTAATTGTGTATGTGTTTACGACTCCCACATCGATTGGAGATCAATTTCATAAATTCACACACTCTTTAAATATAATTATAGGTGACTAATGTGATAACGAATAGTCATGAACCATCTTCTAAAACAAGAAGGCATGATGGATTTGTATATAATAAATATTTTGTCCATGGGGTCTAAGGTTGGTCGGGTCGAAACTCTTTTAAAGGTACATTTTAAAACTATTTTATGACTACTTTCATGTTTAGTTATTTATTCATATTTTTTACTAATATCTCTGTAGTTGTTTATACGCTTCTGTAGTTAGTAGTTGTTCATTATCTTTCATTAGGTTAGGTATTTGATCAGCACGATGATTTGCAATTATTGTAAATGATATTAAATTTAAGAAGCATTTCCATGGTTTGAATGTCGGGAATATCAATTTCTTGACATTTATTTTAGTTTTTGACTATACGATAGTAGATATAAGTTAAATTTTCTAGAAAATTTAAGAAGTATTTCCATAGTTTGAATAACGGAAATATAAATTTCTTGACATTTATTTTAGTTTTCACAATACGATTGATTGGTTTAGTAGATGTAAGTTAAATTTTCTAGAAAAAATCTAGTCTAGATGATATAATTTTCCTTTGTTGACCTCTTTCTGTGCAGCTCCTGTCACAAATGTTTAGGTTTAAAGGATGGAGATCAGGATTCTCACCTTCTTTAGATTTAGAAACTAAAACATCTTGAGTTTTAAATATATCTTTAGAATTCGATAGTACAATTTTTTGATCGAAGCATGATTTCTCTAAGGTTGAAAATCATTACACTTATCATAGATTTTTTTAGATTGAACATTTAAAAAAAAATGTTTCTCTTGGTTGTCAAAGAAGTTAGAGTTCCACAAACATTTTTAGGCTTTGGCATGCTCATATCTTTTTTGAAAGTTGAGTTATTAAAAGGTGTAAAAGGATAGCTAGTATCACAATCCTTTTAGGATCAAGATAAATTTCTAGTACTTGACTCCTTATCCATTTAAGAGTGATCTTATCCGTCTTATTGATTTATTAAATAATTAGGCTCAATTAGTCTCTTCAACGATACAATATTTGACTCAAACACTAAAGTTAGTTCAGAAGTTGTCTCAAAATTTCCAATACATATTTTTGCATTTATTTTTGCAAACTTCTTAGTAAGATTAGAATGTGGTTTAGTTCGAACATTTTATAAATTCACCATTGAGAGTCAGAGAAATAATATTTCATATATTTGACTTTATGTCACCTATAACTTGGAAATTTCTCATAGAAGTGTTATTTGTTTCAAGTCTCTAACTAGTCACCTAATTTAAAGAATGAAGCTAAATGGTTCATATTATTGCATGAAAGCTAACTAATTCTACAACGATGTAAACATTCTAAGTTTAAAGGATAATCCAACAACTTCATAGAAAAAAAGTTTCTTAAGAGAAGAAGCGTCAATATTCTCATGAGAGTAATCCAACTTTAACATTTAAAACTTCATTAAATTTGCTCATATCGTCAATAATCAACAATATAATATTATGATTAACTCAACAAAACTTCATAAATTTCTTGTCAGGTACACACTCCTTTTTATATCCCATCAAAATTGACATGCTTTATGTGAATAATATTGTTTTCTCAAAATTATGCTCTTAATAAAAAATATATTTTTGAGCTACTTGATTTATTGTTCCATGACTGATTTATTATTCTATAATTTGCATGCTTGATAACAAATATGACAGGGTAAAATTAAAAAAATCAATTAATATTTTAAAAAGCTTTAATTGAAATAGTGGTAATGGAAAAAGATAATCGTTTGAGGAAGGTTTGGCTCAAAGGGGTCTCGAAAATAACTATTGATTCTTTAAAGATGGAAAAGAAAATGCCTTGGAGACTGTGAAACCCTAAGAAAAATTGCTTAAGATCATGTTCTTTTATAGTTTGTCCGCACATTTTTAGGGAGGATAATACATAAGTGTTGATAAACTAGCTAACTATACACATAAATTTATTCTGAACTAGGATTAGGTACAATTACAAAAAAAAGATCAAACAAATCCCAAGAAACGAAGCAAGTTAGAAGGTGGATACACCATAGAGACATATTTGACCATGACTAACCGACCTCTAAAGCTAGTCAGATGGCGATAACTGACTTGTTCCTCTAACGTTTCCTGCATGATACAACTATCTAAGAGAAGGTTTTGGAGTTTTTGAAATGAACGAAAATGATGAAGTATCCAAAATACTTGGCGTAGAATATAGGAAAGAGTTTGGTGTGCATTAAGCAAGATATTGATATGTCCTATTGAAGGCTGAAATGAGTGAAAATTTTGATTGCATGGAATTG